AGAGGTCTCGGAAAGCCTATGAAAGGTTGCTAAGAGTTGGAATTGACCTGATGGCAGTGAAATTATATTTTTGGAGTTGTCAAACAGGTGCCCTGGTGACATAATGGGTTAAGTGTTGGGCTGTTAGCTGCAAGGTCAATGGTTCAAATCCAGCAGCTGTTCAGTGGGAAAATCTGTGGCTCTCTGCTTCTGTGAAAACGTAGTCTTGGAAACCAAAGAGCAGTTTTACTCTATCCTATAGGGTTGCTATGAATCAGAAGTTAATTTGTGGCAGTGGGTCTTGATTTGTAAAATTCTAGGCCAATGTTGATACAAAATGAGGAGGACCACCCAGATTTTTATATCTTGGAGCGAAAATAATATTTCCATTTCAAGGGCTTTTGTATGCAAATTTAGTTTGCAAAATCCTAGTAAAAATAAAAAACTACAAACCCCCCCCCCACCCTGAACTGCAGACACAAACGAATTAAATAGGTTTTTCAGGTGCTATGTTCTTTCATGGCCATGGAATAATTTTAAAGATCTTTCCAAGTCATATGAAACCACATTTTGTGAAACTTGAGGGTTGCAGATGACTTTGCAAGTTTCCTCTGAACTATTTTAAAGGACGACCATGTTGCCTCATAGGCATGGGAAAGCTGGACTGTGAGAAAGGAAGACAGAGAATGAATTGATGCATCTGAGTTGTGGTGTTGAAGTACATTGAATACATCACGGACCGTTGGAAAAATAGACAACGTCATCTTCGAAGAAATACAATTAAGGAGCTCCAGAGAAGTGAGGATGGAGAGAATTTGCCTCGACTACTTTGGACAGACACGTTACCAGGTTAAACCAGTCACTGGAAAAGGATATCATGGTTGGTAAAGTAGAGTGTCATCATAAAAGGGGGAAACCCTGAATGAGACGGACTGATGCAATAACTGCAACATTGGACCTAAACATACCAACTATCGTGAGGGTGATATAGGGCTGGGTTCTCTTCCATTCTGTTATGCAGAGGGTCGCCAGGAGCTGGGGTCAACTGGACCGCAACTAATAACCACCAGCAGCATCACAAATGGAAAAAAGATATTAAGAGTGTTCACACTTGATGGCCTATTTCTTCCAAAGCATTTGAGAACCAACATCATGTTTGTGCTTCACACCTTTTGGGGAATTCTGTCACAGAGCTTCAGGTTTGCCATGTTGCTCAACCACCAACCATTCCTGAATTTTTCCACAAACACTGTGTCTCTCTTTGCTCTCTGTTCCAAGAGCATTGTTTCCTGACAAAGGGGGTTAGGAGAGATGGGAGAAAAGAACTGATGAATGGTGAAATCGAGTGTGTAGATAACCCAGAAGTAAACTTCTTAAACTTGTAAAAACAATGAACGTTGTAGGATACTTTTTTGGTACGGAAAAAAAAAAAAAGAAATTCAGCTGTCACCACAGAGAAAGCTTGTTATGTTTAAGTAATTTATACCAATCGGCGAAACACTGTTTACAAAGACCTCAAAGAAGTCATTCCTCTTCAATCCTTCCATTTCAGAGATGTGGGTGGCCTCAAGGGCTGAAGTCTCAAAGGCTCTGAGAGATGGGTGCTCATGTTCATGAGAGCAGAATTTGCACTGCAGATCAAACACACAAGCCCTTCAGAACATGAAGGCTCTGAACAGAAACAAAATGTTTTGGTTAGAGTTTGCATGCCCCTGCTGAACATGTGCAAACAATTAAAAAACCCAAACACCAACTATTTCAAAAAGACCTTGACCCAGTGGTTCAAGTACTCAGCAGCTAGCCCAAAGGTCAGCAATTCCAACCCCTCAGCTGTTTCAAGGGAACAAGATGGGGCAGTCTGCCTCTTTAAAGATTTACAGGCTTGGAAATTCAATGGCTCAGTTCTACTCTGTCCTACAGGGTTGCTGTGAGTCAGAATTGACTCAGTGGCAATGAGTTGGTTTAAAACTAACCAAGAGAATGCCACACACAATTCTAACCATGGGATGAATATTGGAATGATGTGCCCAGCCCTCGGGAGACTTGGGAAGTGAGAGAGGAGGGGGTGGGGGTGGGGAATGGCACTCTGATCACCAAATCTTGTTAGAGCCTGAGGTGCTCTTCATTTAAGTACTTGGCTTTCAGAAGTCATTATCAAGGAAGTCTTGGACAGTGATTTGGAGAATGAAAATATACAAAATTAAGACTCTTTTACATTTACAGTATACAGGGCACACGAAAATTTGTACACAAAATATTCTGTGCGGGTAGATCTCAGCTCCTGGCTGGCCATTTCCAGATGGTCACTAGGGAATTTTCTTGGTTCCTATGGGACTTTCTCAGGATCTTTGTTGGAAACTTTGCTTCTGATATGAGGTTTTATTTTTTAGAGTTTCTTGGATAAAGGGCAAAAACATGCTCAACTTCTCTCACAAATTGTACAAATTATTTCAAATATAGGAATCAGCACAAAGCCAATTCCTAGGAGACAGAGGTCAACTATATCCCAGATGTCCACATTCTTCAAACCGCTGTACCACTCCATCTCTGACACTGGCCACTCCCCTTCCCCTCAGCGTGCTCCCTTCCCCTGTTTGAGGTCAGTAATTTGCTGCAATGCCTTACAGAACTCACAAATTACACTTACAGCTAAGTGGCTTATTAAGGAACAGGGTACAACTCAGGAGAGATTCCACAGGCAACAACTCAGGAGTCAGGACCAGGAAGCATATAGGGCAGTCTCTCTTCTTCAGGGCACAACAGCTGTCAGCTCTCTGGTCCCCCCGAAGACAGACTCTTCTTAGTTCTGTACCCACAGAGGCAGCGCTGCGCTGGGCCCCTTCTGGGCCTCTCACTGTCTTAGGTGTTTATAGCCCTTGACCAATGTTACAGCTCTTTGAAGAGATTCCTTGCCTTCTCTCTCTCTGTCTCTCTCTCTCCCTCTCTTTTTCCTGTTTTCTTCCTACTACTTCCTTTCTTCCTTCTTTCTGTCTGCCCAACCACTCTGGGGGTGGCTGTACATAGACACAAACTCCTCATAAATTTCAAGGCACGTCTCTCCCACAGGGTCACAGATACTGCACAGAAACTATGCAGTAGGCGAGCCAGCGTACAAACTCACCTCATTTGCATTGTCTATTAACCAATCCCTGCAAGGTGCATACCAATGAAGGCAGGCTGCAGCCCAAGACAAGATAAAAGGGACAAAACCAAGTTGTTTACAATGGGCCCAGGAACTGTCAGTCAATTTGGACAAAAATAACAAACTCCTGTGTTGGACTGTAAATGCACCAGCTACTGCACAGGAGAAAGATGAGGCAGGCTGCCCCTGTGAAGATTTACAGCCATGGGAACCCTATATATGGTCACGATGAATCAGAATGGACCTAAATGACAGTGCTTTGTTGTTGTTTGCTTATTTGTTTCTGGTAACTGAGGTAACTCCTAAGGATTTAAGTGGGGGTGGGGGTGGGGATCTCTCAAGTTGCTTTTCCAAAGGAACAAGGCCAAAGGCCACAGAAAGGAACTCATTCTACCATACAATGCCCCCCTCCCCCCCAACAAATCAGCTTTGGGAGAATCTGTGGCAGAACTAGTTGAAGCTTCAGAAAGTTCTTTGTAAAAGTTCTGTGATCAGTTGGGGGAGTGGCATAGTGGGTTACACTACACATTGAGCTGCGAGTTCGAAAACACCAGCCCCTCTGAGGGAGAAAGATGAGTTTTTCTATTTCTATAGGGCTAGTCTTGGAATCCTATGGGGGCAGGTCTACCCTGTTCTATAAGGTCACCATGAGGTAGAATAGGCTATGTGGCGGTGGGTGTGGTTGGAGCTCAGGTAAGCCACAGCACCTCTGTGGATCTAACTTCTCACCTGTACGGTGCACCGAATAATACTCTCTTCCCAGAGCTGGAAAAAGCATCAAGTGAGAGCCTCCTTATGAGCACATCTCAACTCTGGCTGCATCTTAAAATAAATGGAGGAATTAAATAAAAAGGCGCTGCCTTGGGCCCATTCAAAGAGATTCTACTAATGGTTCTAGGGCGGCCCCTGGATCAGTGGGTTGTGTCAGTCCATGCTAAAAAGGCTGGGCCTCTGGCTCAAGCAGAGCTTCTTGACCATAATGAGGGGACAGAGATTTCTAATAAGCTCCTGTGTTGAAGTGCTGGCCCACCACCACACTGTGCACAGCAAAACACGAAATGGTCTCCTATGAGGGCACTGGCGCTTGAACTGTTAACTGCAAGGTTCCTTAGGAGAAAGATCAAGCTGTCTGCGCCTGTAAAAATGACAGCCTCAGAAGCCCTATTTAGCAGGCACGAGGAACTTTTTTTTTCTGCCAAGGGCCATTTGGATATTTATCACATTATTCATGGACTATAGTGGCCAAACATTTCATTAACTCCTCCCTAATGTGATGACTAGAACTGCTTCTCTTTGGTGAGGAATGTGCGATTAGCTAGTATTGATGATTTCTCAGGCTTTATATGGCCCGAGGGCCAGACGGTCCCCACTCTTGCTATAGAGGGTCACTATGAGTTAGAGACCGCTCAATGGCAGTGGGTTTGAGGTAGTTCTCGTGGGAAAGTGGGAGACCTGGTTCGATTCCAAGCCAATGTACTTCCTGCACAAGTATATGAGTGCTAATGGCCCTTTGTGCATGGGTGAGCCCAAGACCCGGGCAGCTAACAATAAGCGGCTGCCAAGTGACATGTCAATTATTGAAATGCGCATACACGTCTCCCAAGCTATCAAATCTGAGCTAAAATGGCAGCAAATGACTTCTTTTCTTTTTAGGACTGTCGAGTAAACATTGGACTGCTAACCACAAGGTCAGTAGTTCAGATCCACCATCTACTCCTCGAGAGAAAGGTGAAGCTGTCTGCTCCCATAAAGATCAGAAACCCTGCATAGGGTTCCTATGAGTCAGAATTGACTCAATGGCAGTGGGCTGGATCTTGTATAAGATTTTAAAGACAGGCATAAAAGAAGTGTGTATACAAAAGGCCTCACTCCAGTTATGTGTTGCTAAAGGAACATTTATTTGAGGAACTTTTTGTGTGTGCATGTTTTAAACTGTTTTTGGCGCGAATGGGATTATATGGTAGATGTTCTTCTGCTAAGGTGCCCTGGTGGCACAGTGGTTAAAGCACTAGGCTGTCAACTAAAAGGTCAGGGGTGTTAACACACCAGCCCCTCTGCAGGAGGGAGATGTAGCAATCTGCTTCTGTAAAGCGTTGGAGGGCAATGTTCTCTGAAGGAACGTTTCATGACCCTTAGAAACACACCCACTTGCTGTGGTACCACTGCTCTCCACATTCATTACAGATCACATAGGTCATCATCTGTTCATCGGGGTTGCAATTCCTCACCCAACTTGGAAGGAAAAGGGTCCCCCGGGCAATTACAGTGACCTTGCAGTTGTATTTCTCACAGCGTCTGCATTTGATTTTATTTGTTGGTGTGCCATCAGGTCCTTGGGGAAGGCGGTGTTCCTGGATAGAAGATTCTGTGTAGGCAGCTCTCAGGGCCTTCAGCTCCTGGCTGGCCATTTCCAGGGCTGTCATTGCAGCAAATTCCCTTGGGGACATGGTCCCAGAGAGCAAGTTGTGTTGCAAATGAGAGTTTCTGGGGTTCTTCAGGTTGGAAACTTTGCTCCTGATACACGTTTTGTATTTTTTGAGGTTCCCCGAATGAAGGGCAAAAATGTGCTCTTCAATTTCTCTTGCAAAGTTTTGCCACACAGCAGCTTTTGGTGGGTCGGCCGTAGATCTAGTTAGAGCTTTGTACAGAAGCTCTATGCATTTGGTTCTCACAGGCAGTGTGGGGCCCAGTGACTCCCTGGGTTCCTTGCCAGTGAGTGTAGGGGCACAGCCACTAGCATGTCCTTCCATAGGCATCATGTGAACAGAACTATTTGCCGGCACAGTCGTTTCAAAGGCTTTCACAACATCTCGGGGTGAGAGCTGAGAACCAGACCTGGAGCTGACCAAGATCTCATCCTGACTTGGGTCACGAGAAAACCCTGACTCCTCTTCCTTCCTATCACTTGTGGGGAATAGCTGAGGGCTGTCCATTGGCTGGAAGCGAGTTGTTTTATAAAGGGCTTTCCACTGAGACAGCAGACCCTTGGCTTTCTTCTTCAGTGGCCCCGAGGGGCAGTGCTTGAGGACTCTGTACACAGCTCTGGCCACACTGGTCTCCTGGAGGTGCTCCTGAGTCACATGCATCATTTCTAGTTCAGTCAGGTGGTTGCCAAGATCCTCAAAATTCCTGTTAGCCATGAGTTGCTCAATAAGTGCAGCTCTGGCAGCTACAGGGTTCTTGGCAGACATCTTGACAGCTGCAAAGAAAAGGGAAAAGAAAAGAGGTTTCAGTTTTCTGAGGCTAGCTTTGGCCAGGCAGCTTCCGGAGAGCAAAAAAGCAATTTCTGCCAGTTCCCTCACTGCAGTGTTCGCTGAAACTTATGTAATAGAAAGGGTTACGACATGTTAGAAAACAGAATCTGAGATGTGGTGTGCTCTGAGTTTCAAAACTTCCATTCACAGTAGTTAAAGAAAGAAAGAAGAAAGACAGAGAGACAGAATGAGAGAAAGGAAGGAAGGGTGGGGCAAGACAATTACTCAGCCATAAAATGAAATAATAAAGTACACACTAACAACATAGAAACAGAGTGACATAATCCAACACCAAAGGACAAATCCTGTATGGTCTTACTTATATGAAGTATCTAGAAGAAGAGAAGCCCTGGTGGTGTAGTGGATTATACATTGGACTACTAACCACAGGGTCAACAGTTCGAAACCACCAGCCACTCTGTGAAAGGAAGGAGAGGCTTTCTACTCCTGTAGAGTTAGTCTTGGGAACTCACAGGGGCAGTTCCACTCAGTCCTATGAGGTTGCTAGGAGTCAGGACCGACTTTATGGCAGTGAATTTTTTTTTTTTCATCTAGAAGAGGCGGATGCATAGAGACCAAAGTCGACTAGTGATGATGAGAGGTGGGAGGGAGGGGCAAGAGGGAGTCTCTGCTTTGGGGCCACTGAGTTTGGTCCATGGCAGTGGGCTGGCTTGGAATAGGGCACAACATGATGACTATAGTCAGTATCATTGAAGAGCACATGTTAAAAGGACAGAGTTTTGTTATATCGATTCTGACCATAATTAAAACAAAAATAAAAAGCACCACAAAGAGGTTCAGCACTGGCACTGGCTTAGTTAGAAAAGGAGCCCTGGTGGTGTAGCGGTTACGTGGATGGCTGCAATCCACGTGGTCGACAGTTTGAAACCACCAGCAGCTCTGAGGAAGATAAGGCTGGACTTTCTACCCCCGTCCACAGTTTCGGTCGCGGAAGCCCAATGGGGGTCTCTATGAGTTAGCAGTAATTGGTTTGATGGCAGTGAGAGTTTTGTTAGAAAAGGCTTGGTAGTTAATCGTTTCCAACTTTCCCAGCTAAATGTTCCACAGCAGTGTTCTTTCTAGTTCAAGAGGAGTGAGTTCATGTGGAGGGAAGCAAGTGGCGACAGGGAGGAGGCAATCACGCCATGTCAGCACCATTGCAGTGATGCTGAGCCATGCTGGGCAGATTTTCCCTCTACTCAGCTGCTTAAGAGGATGGCTTGCTGATTGTATCATCTTTATGCAGTATTTTTCTGACTATGAGAGAATAAGGAACAGAGCAAAAAGAGGGGACACTGAAATGTCAAGTAGCCCACAGCAACCATGAGCTGGCAGAGGTTGAGGGCAGCTCGAGCCATGTCTGGAAAGGAACCGGTGAAGTCTGGCATTGTGACATCAACAGGCCAACAGTGTGCTGACATCTCAGAGGCTTCTGGACCACAGGGCAAAGGTTTATGGCTTTGGACTAACCTGGTCCCTAGGAAAGACTTTGGTTGTCATTCACTTTAAAAAAAGTTATTTTGTTGATGATACAAATGGCAGGATTTATACCAAGTCAACTCTTTCTACCTGTACAATTCAGTGACATTGATTCCAACAGTGCACAACACTGCATAACAACTCACCTTCCATTTCTGAGTCGACCCTCTCCCATGAGCACAAAGGTTCGGATCTCATCTTTCCAGTTGCTATTAACAATTGCATACTGTACAGATAGCTCTTAAAAGAACATAATGCTCAAGGCAGATGTTCATTTTGAGTTAAGCTAAAATACTGCTTGGAGATAAATTTGGTTTAAAGTTTAAATTAATCTCAGGGCATTGGTTTCAGGGATTCATTCAGCTCCCATGGTTCTGGAAAGTGTGGATTCCATGATAACTTTAAATTCTGTTCTGCATTTTAAGTATCAAAAGTTGCTCATTGGGGACTAAACCCATAACTAGATATAGGTATGGCAGAGGATATTTCTACATACATATTTGTATGTACTATTAATATCTCCACATAGATAGGAGAGCATACAGGGGACAAAGTTGTGAAAACGTCTTAGCCATAACCAAATACCCTGAGGGAATGAATCACTAGGCCTGGGAGCTTAGGACTAGTCTTAGCAGACAGCTAAGTCAATTAGCACAATGCAGTGCGCAAAGATAGTTCTACATTCTACTGGGGACTAAAAAGATAGTGCGTGGCCATCAAAGATGCAACTATTGGTTTCTTCCTCTCTGGAGGGAAAAATAACTCAAGGAAACAATTAGTCCAAAAGACTAATGGACCATGTGAGCACAGCTTCCCACTATCCTGAGACCTAAAGAACTAGATGGTGCCCAGCTATCGCTACTAATCACTCTGTCAGGATCACAGAAGGTCCTGGACAGAAAGGGAGAAAATGTATAGAAAAAATCAAAACCATAAAAAAGGAGACTTACTGGCCGGTTAAGAGACAGGTGGAAACCCCAAGACTTTTAGATTATTAGACATCCATCAAATCTGGAATAGACCCACGTCCAGGGTTCACCTTAGAGCCAAACATGCCTATAAAGTAAGACTTGTGAGGAATGTGCTCCTTAGAAGCTAGGAGGTCAGAAAAGGGCAGGGAAGAAGGACAAATGGAAATAGAGAACCCAGGGAGGAAGTGGGAAGAGTGCTGTTACACTGATGCCATTGCAACTAATGCTGCAAAACAAAATGTGTAAATTGTTGATGGAAAGCAAATTTTCTCTGTAATCATTCATGCAAACAAAATACAGTTTTTAAAAAAGAAGCCCCCAGAATAATTTAATTCAGAGGACAGCACTGAAGCTGCAGCTCAGGGAGGGGGACATGTCTGATCAGAGTACACGGGAGCAAATGAAGGTGGAGGAAGACAGAGTGGAGCACATCCTGGCCTACCAATCCTTGAGGACGATATTCCTGCTCAGAGCAGCCAATCCACAGAGAAGACCATATGGCCAGCCCCACTATGAGACACGACATCCCTCACTGACCCATAGCCCTACAGGGGACAACAGAGCAACAAAGTCCCCAGGGAATACCAAAAACAGACTTTGGGGCCAGGGCTTGGCACCACATCAGACTCAACCAGAAAACACTC